ATAATAAGTAAGAGAGAGAGAGAGAGAGAGAGAGAGAGAGAGAGTAGAATTTTAAAAAAAGAAAAATAAAACATATTTGGAGACATGAAAAATTGGGAGACAGAGAGAGGTTTAGAAAGAGAGAAGCATTAGAATTAAAAACAACCAAATTCGAGAGAGAGATATTTGAATTAAAAATAAAAAATAAAAAAAAATTAAAGAGAAGCAAATGAAAAATGGTAGGGAGAGAAATTAGGGGAGAGAGAGAGATACCAGAACTAAAAAACAAACCAACTTTTAAAGAGAAACAAATGAAAATTGGGAGAGAGAGACATTAGGATTGCACTAAAAAGTAAATTAATCAATTAATTCAATGACAAGCATGAGAAAGTTGAGTTAGAGAGAGAAAGAGATAGAGAAAGTAGGCTTACAGGGAGAGAGAAGTCCCCAGGGCAATTCTCAACAATGCTTTGGCCTGATGCATTAGAAGTAGAGGGCTTAGCATATGTATCAGCAAGCGCCCATTTCTCTAAACCCTCTCCTAAACCAGCAGCCTCAATGTCTTCATTTGAGAAATCAAGCAAATCATCAATGTGATCAAAGAAATCAGTGCCCAGCTCTGAATCAATCCCCTCCATGAATCCTGCTTCAATCATAATGAATCTCTGAATACACACCTGTTTTTAGAGAGAGGAAATTGAATCAAAACAAGAGAGAGAAAGAGGTTTCTTTCCTTGCACTCAAACTGTTTTTAACTTTTAAGAGAGACGACATTGGATCAAAACAAGAGAGAAAGTGGGTTTCTTTCCTTGGATTACTCTGTTTTAAGAGAGAGATAATTGGATTAAAACAAGAGAGAAAGTGGGTTTCTTTCTTTGGATTAAACTCTGTTTAAAGAGAGAGAATTGAATTAAAAGAAGAAACACAAAGTGGGTTTGTTTCCTTGGATTAAACACTGTTTTTTCTCTTTTATTTGTGTAATTTATATGATTTGAGGTTCTAAAGAATTACAAGTTAAGGAAGTTAAAAATGGCTTCTTTTTTTCTTTTTTTCTTTTTTGGATTCCTTGAGAGTTGAGACTATTTCCCCTGTTACTATAAAAATAAGCTCTCGAGCCTAACTACCCCAATTTCTTTCTTTTTTGGGGGGCATGCACTCAACCGAAAAATGAATAAATAAATACCAAAAACTTTTTTTATAAGTCATAGATTACACTTTCCGAGTAATTATTAAAGAACAATTCGGGGATTTTAGGCTGAAATTTGACTTGATGTTATTTCTAAAGTTCAAAAATAATGTGTGTTTAAAATAATGAAGGCTTCAAATTTATGCTAAAAATAATAATAATGAAGGCTTCAATTTTTGCCAAATGTTGGCTTTTGTTGAGACCGAATTAGATTATTCTCTCTGGAATTCAGTGTCTTTGGGGAGAGCGAAATGTTGAATTTAAGCCCATCTCGAGGAGAGACTTTTGGGATATTTCAGTTGAAACTCGAAACCAAGGTTTGAACTTTGAAGATTAATATAAAGAAATTTCGCCATTTTTTCATCAATAAAAAAAAGTTGGGTATCCAGAAAAAGAAAAGATGCAAAAAAAATTACGAAAAACCAATTTTTAAAGAATTAAAATAACAAGTGTTCCATCTAAAATACTAGACATTCTCTTTGTAATATAGACAAAAAAGTACTCTCCTTATACTGTAGGAGTAAACTGCGGCGTTAAAATTGGCATGGAGATGCAATTCCGGTGTCAAAAACCATGGCTTGAAAATCTATTTTTATCATAAAATTTAAAATTTGAAAAAGAGTACAAATCCAATACAGCTGTAAACACTTAAAAATAAACTGTCCAAAAACTTATTAATAAGATACGGTTATTTTTAAGATAAAATTATTTTTAGAACTTAGAATTCTTTCTATCAACCCATCTTGAGGCCGATAATTAATTGGAGGGTTCTCCAAAGTAAAATTAAGGATTTACGGTTGGCGTGCACCTGCTCCAGCTTCTATAAATATTTTTCATTTATATACACAAAATGAAGAAAATGGTAATCTCCCCTCTCTTTAAAACAATACATTTTTATCTTTATTATATATGTACATACAAAAACTTAGCCAAAAATAATAATCACCCCTTCTCACCACTCTATCTCTCAAAAAGAAAAAGAAAAAAAACTTTTTCTTCAAAAAAAAGAAGAAGGAAAAATGACCCAGTATAAGCTTATGAGGAAAAACATGGAAAAAAAATTAAAGAAGGATAATCAGCACAACTGTGCAATCTCCCCACTCCTTCTTGAAAACAAAAAAGAAAAAAAAAACCCACTTTTTTCTTTTAGAGTAAATTATACCTTTTTTTTTTTTTTTTTTGAGAATTTTCCCTTCTAAGACAAAAGTTTTATCCACTACGGCATAAAAATGGAAATAATAAGTAAACAAAGAAATACAACACTAGAAATGTTATTTTATTAAATGAATAATTTAGAATTTGTCAAATAATTTCCATGAAAATATGCAAACAAAATAAAAAATTGCAGAAACCACATTAATAATATGAGAAGTAAAAGTGAAATACGAATAAATAAAATGAAATAAAACACCATTACAGTGCATTGTAAAATACCTAGAAAATAAGAAAAAAAAAATAAAAGATGAAATTAAAAATAAATTTTGGGTTAATACCTGTAATTTCAGAGGGCAATCGCGTTGCCAGCAAATGCCTGCTCGTCGACTGTTTCTAGAGAGAAAAAGAGAGTACTTAAACCCAAATTCCAAAATTGCCCCTTAAAATTTATCAGAAAAAACCAGAGATTTCTGCTCGTCTTCTTCAGCTCTTTACTTTAATTCACTGTTTTTCTCTCTAAGTTTTCGATGACTGACTCAGAATAATTCTAGAGAGAAGGCAGAGCAACAATCGAAACAGAGAGCTTTTAGAGAGACAAACAGAAGCGTAGAAAGGGAAAGTAAGAGAAAATTAGGGGTCGTTCTCTATTTCCCGTTCGGACTCTCTGAAAATGCAGAGCACTGCTCCTAGAGAGAGAAACAGAGGGTGAAGATACAGAGGCTGAAGCTTTCGACTCTCTTTAAAGCAGACACAGACGAGAGAGAAAGAGGTTAAACCCTAGCTTGAGCGAAAGCGGAGAACCAGGACGAAAATGGCGAAACCCTAGCACGAAGCTCCTTGTCCACAGGACCAGAACAGAGACCACAAACCCTAATTTGTCCTGTAGACCACTGCTTTTACAAAGAAGCAGAGCTCCAATCAATAGACTCTGTAGTATAATCACTATCTTTAGGGTCTCATCTCCATTAATTCTCTGAAACCGTTCAGAAATGGACACATACCCTCTTGAAGAGAGAAGCAGGGGCTTTATGCAAGGCGCAACGGAGTTATATTTAAAGTCCAACCCTGAAAAAGAAGGAAGAGAGAGAGGGGGAAGAGACAATTAGAGAGAGAAAGAGAGTGGATTAGAGAGAGAAAAGGGTAGAAAGAGAATGAGTTTTGAGAGAGAGAAAGAGTATACGGTCATGGTAGGTGAATCACCGCCAGAGTGCTAGCTGGCTTTGATCCTTACTGGCTTGATGTTGAAGTCATACGAGTTCTTTCTGCACTGTGAATGCGGGTCCCATGAGCTCGAGAGCCCCATCACCCCATCATTTTGGTAGCGCCACAATTCAGACACAGAGATAATTTTAGAGAGAGAAAATGTGTTAATTTAAGAGAGAGAGAGACGCGGGGGAATAATGTGTGAATTGTAAAACAAATGGCTGTTCCCAGCCATGGTTTCCAATTATATTACAGGCATTTACTTCTCTTTACCCAAATTTAAGTTGGTCTTTTTCTCTCACTAGCCAGTTTTCTCTCTCTCTACAAATGGCAGTTTTCTCTCTCTAAAAATGACATTTTATATACTCTGTTTCTCTCTCTAGCTAAATATGTTTTTTAATATATAGTTTATACACTCTCTCTCACTACCTTAATGTTTGAGTTATTTCTGTGGGCTTTTTCTCTCCCTCTCTCTCTAATTATTTTTCCCTCTCCATTTTTCTCTATCATTTGTCCCTCTATTATTTGTGTTTCTCTCTCCTCTATAAGTTTCTCTCTCCTCCCTTCTTACTGCACCCTCTCTCTTTGCATCTTTGTTTTCTCTCTCCTCTCTCTCGTTTTATTTTTGTTCTTTATTTTTGTTCTTTCTCTCTCTACTTTTCTTTTCCTTTGTTTATGACTCTCTCTCTCTCTAAGTTGTTTCTTGTTTCACTAAAACCGCCTTCTTCTCGTGAACATGCCATTAATAGAAATTTACGGTCATATGTATCCCAAAATCTCGTAAATATTACAAGACCCGGTTTCTAGCCTTTCTTGATTGAAAAAAAACCCTATTTTTAGAAAATCAAATTAAACTTTTTGTTAGCTAAGTGTTTTTCATTAACTAAAAATAAAAAAGACTCAATCATTGTGTTACAATCCTATTATAGGATAATTGAGCCAAATCATAGGTTAAACACAAATAAAATCCGGGTCTAGCATGCCAAATTGTAGCAGCAGAGAGACTTATCCCCTTCTTGACAAGTGTCGCTGCTGCCATGTTGGCCTCACCGTAGATGTGGGAAATGCTTTACCTATAGTCAAAGAGTTTGTGACAGGAGTTGGCTGCTACTGTGTGAAATGCTCATGGATAATCAATTTAAAAATTAATATATATATATATATATAAATATAAATGACTTCAAGATTTTGCCTATGCTATAAATTGGACATCTCAGATTTAACAATCTAGACAACTCACATCAGGGGTACCAGAATTTTTTTTATTTTGTGTAATTTTTCTAATATTTGTATTGTGCACCTAGGTCTAGTGCATCTCTCTGTAAAATTCTGACTCAAAAAGATTTATAGAATAAAATAAATTTGAAAAAATGCCTATACAAGCCGATAACTAGGTATCTCGAGATTTAATCTGAGCTATCTAACTTATACTAATATTCGGAATACTGGCGGACTTGTGTCTGTATACCTATATGGTATCTGAAATCTTTTTCTCTTATAGAAAGATACAACCATACTCAAGGAAATTTAATTGCAATGTATATATGTATCGTTCTGTGCACGTAGTGCATGAATCTTATAAAGAGGAAAAAAGAAAGTGAAAAGGAAAAGCCCTTCCTCACATGGGAAGAGACCTAATTATTTGTAATGGAAGGCGTAGGAGTCAAATGATCCCAAGCTCATGCAGGAGAATTTTGTCGATTTAGTCCCAACCAAGTATTTTTGTGACCCCAAATCTTCAATCAGCTTCTAACCGATTTAAAAATAAAGAAAAAAAGGAATACCCACATGCATTTTTTATTTTCCATGGAAATAATGTCGTAAGATTGAACAAATGCGATTTAATTTTTGGACTGTTAGCTCAAAGTGTGAAATAGTTCAAAATTTAATTATTTTTCTCTGAAAAATAATCATCTTTTAATCGTATGTAAATCTTGTAATTTCAATCTAGAAAGTCCTAAATAGCTTCTTCACCAAAAGGGGTAAAGATATATTTTATGCTCATGTGACAACATGTTATATGTGCGGAGAGAGAATCCAAATTAAAAATAAGAATTAAATAGTGTGGATCACTGGAATTTTACTTATACAAATAAAGTTTTAACCCTGTATAAACTTTTCCTAAAGTTAAAATTGAGAGACTGAGAGAGGGAGAGAAGTGGTTTTTCTAAAATTGAAATTGAGAAAATGAGAGTGGGAGAGGTGGTTTTTCTGCCTTTTTAAAGAAGTATGAGTAACTAACAATGGGAGCTTATTCGTTCCATAAAATTATATATTAGAGGTAACAAAATCAAATGAATAAATGAGAAAGAGATAGAGAGAGAGACTGCCCAAATAAAAATAGAGAGAGAAAGTATGAAAAAAAGGTGGTTTTCAAGACTTTTGAATGTGCGAGGAACAATTAAGTGTCGAAATATGTACATAAATCAAAATTAAAAAATGGAAAATGAAGAGAGAGAAATAGAGATTGAGAGAGAGAGACCGGCATCAATGATGAGAGTGATACGAGTAATCTGATTACAATAAAAGTGGGCCTAATAGTGAGAGTTAACGGGTATTTTTCATGTATTAATTAAATAAATAAAGCAACATAGAAAAAATAAGGCATTTTAACAGATCAGTCATATTCAAAGTGCGCCATCCACAGGTTCAGATTAGAAGAGTCTATAATATATTGTTACCTCGGCTCTATACAGATTAGAAGGGAAGATAATGGATTGTTATGATTATATTTAATAGTTTACTTTCAAATTATTTTGAAAATAAACTATTTTAACAAACAGGACGGTATATCAATTTTGTGTGGACGTTCAAACTTCAAAGTAGTTCATATGAGAATTGCATATAACGTAGCGTTACCTCAAATAGTTCGGTTCAAATCAGAAGTGAAGACTCATAATAAATATAAATTGATTAGTTCGAAAAAAATAAATTAACTAAAATACTATTGAATGTTTAAAATGTGTTTTGATCAATTTAAAATTTGATTTTTTAAAAAAATTAATTACATGATAAAAAAAATAAGCATTCAAAATCTCAAGTTAATCCAATTTATAGAGAAATTAAAATTAAAATATTACATACCTTTCTTAACCATGGAAGGGTACACTATCCATAGTAAAGTGGGTTTTAAATTTTGAAATAGACTAAAGATGAACTATAATTGCGATGAACTATAATTGCGAATATAAAAGTTTGAATTAGAAAAAAGAAAAAATATTTGCTAATAAAAGTTTGAATTATAAAAAAAAGGATAAAATAAATTTACTAATCTCTAGGTTATTGAAATTTGAAAATTACCACTTATTGTTTGCTTCCTTATTCTTTACACAAAAGACCCACGCGTATTCTATTTAAAAAATTAAATAAAAAAGGAGGGAAAGAAAAGTTAAAGTGACCGCACAACCAAAGGTGGTTTGGGGGAGTGGAATGATGGGCCTTGCCACCCCATTTTCTCTCTCTCTCTCTACCTTTCTTTCACAGACTTGCATTACACTCTTTGCATCTTCCTTCAGAAACACTCTCCTCTCTCTCTTTCTTGTAAGAAGCCATCTTTGTTGTCTAAAATGTAAATCTCTCTCTCCATTTTTTTGTGTAAAATGTAAACTGCTCTCTCTCTCTCTCTCTTGATTTTTCATGTGGGGCCTGATTATTTATGTGGCCAAGGGCATATGTAGAAATGTGGACCTCTTAATAAATATATTTTTGAGATAGATTTTAAGACTTGAATTTTAAAGATATGTAATCTGTAACATGGAGATCATGTATATGAAAAAATAAATATTTTTTTAAAATTAAAAATAATAATTTTAATAAAAAAACATTTGGACAGTTGATTTTCATTGTTTTTAAATGAAACACCTATTTGCATCCATCTTTAACATTAAATTTTTCTCATACTCTCTCTCTTCTGCAAAATGTGAATTTTTCTCATACTCTCTCTCTTGTGCAAAATCCAAATCTCTCACGCTCTTCCAGAATGAGCATTCATTGCACTTGTTGCTTCGGTGGTTAGGAGCCTTTGATTCCCCGTTACTTGTTTTTTAATAAAAATCAGTAACACCTATCTCAAACCACTCTTTCTCTCTCTAAATAAAAACTCATTGTACATCGTGCACCGGTGGTTAGGAGCCTCTGATTTCACTTGTGTAATAAAAATCACTACACATCCCCCCTCTTCTCTCTCTCTCTAAAGCCATGAGTCCATCTTCTCTCTAAAATTTAAAAGTGCAACACCCCAACTAATAAAAGTCACCTCTCTCTCTCTCTAACTTAAAAATGCACATCACAACTAATTAAAATCACTCACACCGCTCTCTCTCTCATTAAATTCTAAAAAATGAAGACCCCCAGTTGTCCACGGCAAAGCAACGTGTTGGTGGCATAGTGTGGATTATTAGTTTTATTATTGTAAGAAGGTCCACACATTTCCTCAATTTACGCACAAAATAAAGACAATCAGGTTTCTCTCATTTCAAAATCCAAACTTAGTAAATTGCCGCGGATTTCGGAGAAAACAAAACTTCTTCATGAACTCCTCCCCAATACTTCTCTCTAAAAAATATCACATAAAGTCTCTCTCTCTCTCTACTTCTCTTTAGAAAATCTCACAAAAAGTCTCTCTCTCTACTTCTCTCTAGAAAATTTCACAAAAAGTCTCTCTCATCTAAGCAGCTACCTAGTCTCTCTCTCAAAATAATACCTTATTTTTCTTACCTCCCTCCTCCGAGTGTGAGTCTTGGAAAAAAAAACATGTTCCATTGTTATAATATGAGCAAGCTTTCTGTGTTTTTTCGACAACATAAAATTTATATACTTCTCCTTATCCAACTGTCCATTTTGAATGGAAGGTTAAGATTGCCCCAATCACAATGTCATGTCTTTACACTATATTATTTTTAATCTTTTTTATAAACTATTTTGACACCAAATTTTGTATGTCCAATCCTCTATTAAACTCGAACTAATGAAAAAATATATAATTTTTTTTTTAATAAAATAAAATGACCAAAATACTTCTGAAAGATTAAAGAGGTATTTTGGTCATTATGTTTTTAATATGTTTTAGAGGTACACCCCAATGAAGAAGATGGCATGTACCAAATTTTATATTCATATAATTTGTATAAAAAAACTAAAAAAAAATACTTTGAAACCTC